TTAACAAACTTCTGACGGGAGTGTGAAGGTGGCAGTTGAGCTATAATCACGACCAGGCTCGAGTTGTGGTTGTCGATCGATTTCAGGTGATGTACTTCAGATACTTTTCCTACATATGGACCCAATATTATCCCTCCCCGGACTTAAAATGCTTTCAGTTAAGTTTCTAATTATCTACACATATAATCAGCATAAAGAATCTCTTATATTTTATGTAAGTTTAATTAAAATAAATAGTCCCTTGTTTTTTTTTCAGGATACCAGGAGAGATTCTACTTCAATCTAGGTGACACTGGCTTCAAGGTCCGTTTTTTATACAATCATACCCATGTTTCATATTAAATTGGCACTTTGACTTTTCAATGTAAGGGTAAGATAGTCATTTAGTCTTTTGATAATTTATATTTTATTGTGCAGGTGTTCCAAACCAAGTTTGCTAAGATAAGCATGGGTACGAATTTCTCAATCCTTTTACCTAATTGCTCTCCTCCCAACACGTTAAAATTAATGAATGTTTTGATTTTTTTTGGCACTAACACTTGGATGATGCTTACTTTGACTTGCTGTTGGAGAGGGTAGTGGAGTGGGCTTGCTGAGTGCTGATTGTGTGTTTGATGGATGAATTGGTCCTGATTTGTGGCTGGATACTAAAGGTGATGAATGCCACAAATTATTCTCACTATTGTTTGTTTTTTTATGTTAGTTTTGCGAGAACATATGTATTTAGCTTTCAAGGAGATGACTGCCTCATCTGTCGTGGGTCACGCTCCATATTACTGCTTGCAGCAGAAGCAGAAAACGGTGCTGATTTGTTTCTTTCTACTTAGTATTTCTTACTGGTTGTGAACAAGCCTCTCATCTCACATTTGAGTTTATAGGAATCAACAATCACTATGAAACTTCTAGTGTTTAGATTTCTTACTGGTTGTGAACATTTGTTTCTTCCCTTTCTACCCTTCACTTGCAGGTTGATGATTTGTCAAGAATGTTCAGACTATTTTCCAAAAATACCCCATGGATTGGATCCTGTCTCTAGTATGTTTAAAAAGGTTTGTGATTTAGAAGCTTTGGAGGAAACGAGACTCAAGCAAAAGTAAACACATAGAGAGTTGTTGGCACATAGTAAGCTAGATAATGCAATTGTATATAAATGAGTTCATTTTATTATAACATTTACTCACTATTGGAATAATTATTTGTATTTGACATATTAGTGAAATGAATTATCTTTGTTATTTATGGTATTTTATTTTGTATTATGACATTTTTAATGTATTATTTAATTTGAAAATTAGTAAATCTATAAATAATATTTTTTTTAAACATTTAAGATTATGATACGCAAAAATGTGTGTCATCTTCATTTATGACATGTCCTTTCTTGACAGGGGCTTTCTTGATACGCATTGCGTGTCATTAACACGCGCGTCGTAAGGTTATGACACGCGAATGCGTGTCGTCTTCCTTTATGACAGGGTCTTCCTTGATACGCACTGCGCGTCGTAAATACGCGTCGTAAATGAGCGTCGTAAATGCGCGTCGTCTATAGACGACGCGCAAAAGCGCGTCATCTCTCTTTATGACAGGGCCTTCCTTGACGCGTATTTGCGCGTCGTCTGAGCCTTTTACGACGCGCAATGAGCGTCGTAAAAGGCTGTTTTTCTAGTAGTGACGCGCTCACACACAAGTTTGGTAAACCCAAGCCAAATCGGCACGCATTTGCACCCCCAGCATGAACACGCAAGAAAGAGCATTAGTTTCTGTAAGTGTTACAAATGTATCTAGTCTTTGTAGTTACAAACCAATTTTCTGTTCTTTCTCCCACCAATGTGGGATGAGTTAAAACCCACTCAACTCATTTATTATTTTCTTCTAACTACTCTACAAGTAATTTTTCATTCGTTTTTAATCTGTTTTTGACGTGTGATATAACGAAACGAAGATATCACGGAAGGAGAACACAAATATATAATCATTAATCCGTTTTGATTATATTTAGTGTTCAAAATTCATGCTCAAAATGGGAAAAAATCCATTGCTGGAAATTAGTAAAACTAATTTTCCAACAAAATGAATCTAATTTTTAATGTTAAATATGGCATCACTAGACTCGAAACATTTCGTAAGGCTAATACTGATCATCAAGGAGTATTTAGTAGTCCTATAGTCGAGCAACAATATGTTAGTGGTTAATTTGTATTTTCATATAAGTGTTTATATATATATATATATATATATATATATATATATATATATATATATATATATATATATATAGTATGATGTTAAACATTTTTTGAAAATACAGAATGCCTTAGCCCAAGAGACCAATCAACAAACTCAAGCTTCTTCTGAAGCAAGCGGTCTCAACAAAGAGGACATAAAAAATTGTTTTGTAAGAATTTTGGGTGCTCGATGCGGCCATATCAAAGGCATCGGGTGTAAACCTTCTCCCATTGCATCGATGTACAATCAAGAACAACCACTGATATAGCCACCACCATAATCACAAGTAATTGTTAGTTTTATAATACAATGCTATAATGGAGAAATGAACAAAATACAATACTATAATGTATATGCAATATATGTAGGATGTATGTTTAACTGTATTTGGAAAATATAATGCTATAATGGAAAAATGAAAAAAATGTAGGATACTATAATCAGAATGACCTTAATTTGTAAAGTAGAATGCTATAATGATATGTTGGTAATATATTTTGTACTTTGCTTATATTTTCGTAAATTTAGTTATAGTACAATGCTATAATGAAAAAATAAAAAAAAGTACAATGTTATAATGCATATGCAATATATATAGGATGTATGTTTAAGTGTATTTGGAAAGTAAAATGCTATAATGGAAAAATAAAAATGTAGGATGCTATAATCATTATGACCTTAATTTGTAAAGTAGAATGCTATTATGATATGTTGGTAATATATTTATTTGTAGTTGGACATGCTGCAAACAATGCTAAAAGACCCAACATGTAGTGCGGCACTGGAAGAATGGTTTCAATCGTTGCCACGACGAAGTGAAACCGAAGGAAACGAGAGGAGTGATGAGGACAAGTAGCTACTTTTAGGATTTATGTACGTAATGTTTTGTTTGTGTTAGCATTTTAGACTAGTATTTTGGATATATTAATGCACTATGTTTTGATGTGTATTTTGGATCGGATGTCATATATATATTATTAAGTCACTACAAATAAAATGATATTTAGTGGCATAGAAAAAGTATCACTAAAAACTGAAAATGTGTCACTAAAAGCCCCCAGGAGAATCAGCAGCACAAAAAAATAATGCCACTAAAAACACTGCCACTAAAGGCCTTTAGTGGTACTTTTTGGTTGTGTCGCTCCAGCTAATTAGGTTTTAGTGACACTTTTCTATTATGCCACTATAGTATTTCTAGGTTTTAGTGGCACTACTTTTATGCCACTATTTATTATGTTAAAATAAATATTATTTTCATGTTTTTAAAGACACTTTTTTTGTAACACAAAATAATGATACTAAAAAATTATGTCTAATTTTTTAAATTTTAAATAGAATATAAAATAATAATAAGGCGATTTAAATAATAAATGAAACATAATATCATTACTTCAACTCAAACTACAACTTGTCTAATAACAATATTCAAGATTTAAAATACAGATGAAAAAAATCAAAATTTGTTATCCTTTTACCAAGTTTTCTGCCAAACATTTATATTTTAATTTCAAAATTCATATGGTTAATAATCAATACTCATTTGAATTATTTTGGTGAGAAACTAATTTATACAGTACATATAGGAATTTATAGCTTATACTTACGTTAATCAAACCAACATTTTTTTGCATCAACATTTCGACAAACACTTGGTTTGCTCCAAAGTATGACTTACACATGAAATTTAAAATAAACTAGATAGATCATCCTATAAACATTTTCCAGTAACCCCAAAATCAGTTCATCAGATGGACATAAATTGGTAAGTTTTCTTGTGACTTTGAATACACGTGTAGATGAATATGTAATTTGTCGCACTAATGTGAAGAATAAACACAGAGCGGAGAGGCAATTACCTGGAGATCAAAACATAAAACTTAGAAGCAATGATGTAGCCATGGCGATAAAGATGTTGGGTAGAGGATGGGGGAATAGGCGGTGGCCGACGTAGATGGAGAAGCCATTCTAATGGATAAGAAGTGGAGAATTTCGAGGAAGGGAGGGGGAGAAGAATGTCGGCGTATGGATCTACAAGATGAATTAGGGCAGTGAAAGTTGAGGTGTTGCTCCGTTTAAAACTCAAAAAAAAAAAAAAAATTAGGATTGAGCGTAATGATCTTGGAGGGAATTTTAAGAGGAAACCTAAAATTTCTAAATTATATGCCACTAAAAGTTGATATATAGTGGCATAAAACCAATGTGTCACTAAAAGTTTGTGACACTAAACGTAATTTTGTTTCTAGTGAGTGGTTGATGTTTCGAACTAGTATTTTTCTGCAAAAAATGTTTTGTAGCATTTTTTGTACTTTTTATTAGTTTCTTGTAGTTGTACATGGCCTTTTTATTTCTATTTAATTTGTTAAAGGGAGAATATGTGCAAATTATCTTATGGGACGTGAAAATATAACATGATAATTGATAAACAAGTGTCACCAACTTTTGAAAATAAAGTTCCATGCAACTCAATTCCTCTACAGAAGGGCCGAGCATATATTTAACGGACTAGCTTATTAAGGCATCGACTACATCAATATGTCACCATTCCCTTTTCCTTAAACTAACTTCATCGCATAATCTCCAACAATGTTATTATATATTATAAATTGACCCCGAAAAGCATAATATATATAATCCAATAAAGGAAAGGTTGCCCACCACCAAAGAGATAAAGAAAGCTAAAGACAAAATAGTTACCTAACATTTTTTGCTACTGTATACTTAATTTGAACATCGTAATCAATGGAGATAAGTGTTAAAACCTTTCCATGCATTACCTAATTTACTTGGTTTTGAGCAACAGGATTGATCTTCTTCGCTAAGCTGAGCTTGTTGTTGTGCATCCAGACCTTGAGGACTTTCCTTTTGATCCCTAGTTCTTGACAAAACTGTTGCACCACCGACTCCTCTTGCTTTTGAATCTTCCACCCAACCTTCTCTGCGAAACTGAGCATCTTCTCCTTCTGTTCTTCTGTGAACTTTGTTCTGAACCTCTTCTTCACTATCTGATGTGGTTGTGTTGGTGGATGATGCCTGCTCATAAACCCTTCAAGTTCATCAGATTCTGATGGAAAAGATCCAATCTCCATATCGTACGACATTATCAATGGTAATGGTGCTCTTGAAGGTACAACTACCCCAGCATGATTGTGGTTGTACCCATAAGATTCTGTTCCAAGAATACCCCTGTGGTGATGATGACCCTGCAAAATTACCTTCCTACCATTTCCAAGCTCAATTCTGTTAAGATGTGGAGGGGCAGAGTGGTAATTGTAGTCGCAGGAAACTGGGTGGTGGTGGTGGATTTCACCTTCAATCTCTTTCCTGTGGAAGTTTCTGTGGCAGTTGCAGGCTGAGCAGGTGAGAGCTTCAAGGGTACCCTCTTCCCCGGAGGGCATGAACTCACCACACCCATCTGTTGCAATCCCTCCAATGGAAACTGCGTGGTTCTTGAGGCATTCTCTGTACCTTACCATCATCCTGTTGTCGTCATTGTTGGTGTAGGGAACTAGTACAGACTCCTCCATGGAAGAACACGAGGGTAGTGGTACTATTCTGGTGGGCCCGGTTGTTATTGGTATTTGTAATTGGTGTTGGTGTTGTTTCTGTGCTACTGCTACTGCTGCCGCTGAAGATGGGACAATGTGATTGTGTGGTGCAGATTCATGATGAAGCATGTGACGATGCCCATGGCCTCCACCATATGTGCTGTTGATAGGGTGAGCCATCTCTCCTCCTTGATTTTCCATATCTACCCCTTCGCGATCTCTCACCTTCTATGTCTTTCAAATTTCTTTGAGGAAACTGTTTTGTGTATGTGTTTGTGGTTTGAAAACCAGAAGAGAACATTCGACAATTCTATCTATTCTATACTATTGACTCCGTATCATCAACATTCTACATATATAGAAAAGGGAAGAGGCTAGAGACTCTTTAGGAGCAGAAGTTGGAGATGGTCAGATACCTTAATGGGGATCGATCACCTGAAACTTAGAGGAAGGAGACAACAATTTGAACATGAACGACACACACTGTCAAAACAAAGATGCAAATTCTGCGTTCTTAAAGAGAAGAAACCAGTATTAGGGAAGAAAACACTCCAGATGGTTAATTAAATGGGTATCGAAGGAAAATAAGATTTCAGATGAGTATTAGTAGCGGTGAATAGAATTAGGAAGGACCGGTGATCGAAATCCATTAACATGTGTGCTTTATGGGTTGATAAAATTACTGGATCGATATAACAATTAAGGTTTTACTTAGGTAACTCGTAAAAGCTCTTGAGCTTTTAATACCCTCCCATGGCTACCCAAAACAAAAGGACACCAGTGAGAAGAGAGAAAGATTTGTAGGTGGGTTTTGCAAGTGAAGCACTACATTATATATATATATATATATATATATATATATATATATATATATATATATATATATATATATATATATATATATATATAGAGAGAGAGAGAGAGAGAAAAAAAAAGAGAGAGAGAGATATAGATGATTACTTTGCTTGCACTAACAGGCATCAAGATTACGCCATATAGGATGACATTTATCAAGCATTGTGTCAGAAGAGAGTGGAGATGACAAAAATGTAAGAGTAGTGAATAGGCATGTGTCGGTTTTGGGTAAACCTAAATCCAAAACCATAAGTTCTTTTGAAACTTATTGGTTTTTGGATGTGTTTGTATAAATAACATAATTGTTTCACAAATAATGGTTTAGTTTTTTTCTTTTGTAAAAATGGCAAATTTAGTTCTCGTTATAAAAGAAAAAACATTTTAATCCTTAAATCATTTTCTTGACACCTTTATATCATAAATTTGTTGAAATAATGGTTTTAACTCAAAATTTATTTTGTTAACTGTTTAAATCTTTTTAGAATAGTAATTTTTGGTTAAAACCCAACTTTTCTAATTTTTACAGTTTTGACCCGAAATCCAAAAACTTTTCATTTTTGATCATTTTTGGAAATAAAAAGCATTTCTGACTCTTGAAATAGTTTTATTACACTTAGTATCCCCTGATTTGCAGAAAGTTTCATTTCAGCCCCTTTAGATGATATTTTTCGCAATTTTTGGACTTATAGGGCCGAAAAGCCCAAAATTAGCTCATTAAGCTAAAAATTTACATTTTTAGTTCTTTTAAAATTTTAATACAGCGAATATTGGTTATTGAAACTATTTTGACTATTTTGACCCTTATGAAATTGTGAATTGGCAACTTTTAACCAAAATTTAGTATTTTTGACAATTTGAGCCCAAAAAAGGGTTTTATGTTGGAAATATATTCATCATAATCTTATAAGTTATCATTCTTGACTAGTTAAGTGTAGAATAACTTAAATCATGGAATCATGCATAGCATACACATACACATAGATCTACACATTTTTCTTGTATTCTCCCCCATAAAACACATAAAAACCAAAAAGAGAGGGGTATGAAGCTCACCTTGAGTTATAGTTTTGGTTTTGAAGAGAGAAAATGAAGAAAGTTTCGATCCTAGCAAGTCCTCTTGGTAAATCTTGAACTTAGATGATTTCTAAGAGAGTGATCATGATTTTGTATGAGATAAGGGGGATTGTTGGTAAAATGAAGAAGATATGTTATGAATCAAAGAAATAACTTACCAAAGATGTGAACTACTTGATGAAAATCCTTAGATTTCAAGCCAAAATTTCAAGATCTTCGAAGGAGAAGAAGATGATCTTGAGAGTGGTTTAGAGAGAATTTTTGGTGAGGTGTGTGTACAGTGTTCGGCCGAGGATGGAAAGAGAGAGGGGAAGAGAGAATTTGATGAGATGGTTGCATGGAAATATGAGTTATAAGCATGGAAATCCTAGGGATAATAAAGAGGTGGCAATGGAAGTCAACCCTTCCTTTCTTTTGTGGTTTTGGGCCGAGAATGGAGAGGGGAGAGAAAAATAATTGGGCCTTGTATGCTTAAGCCCATTTAATGGTTAAGTTAGATGATTTTTCGCCCAATAAAATCAAAGAATGATTTTTATGACCTATTAGGGCTAATTTAAACTTGTTATGGCCCAATAAGGTTCATTAAGGCATTTTATTTCATTCTAAGCCACATATGGCCCAAAATATTAAAATAAATGGAAGTGGGTCCAATTAGAGCCCATTTAAGAGTTCTGAACCCAAGATAGTCCAATTAGAAGCTTATTGGCCCCTTAGGCCCAATAAGAAAATCCTAGTACAAAATGGACTTAAACCGGGATTTCTAGGGTTTCCAATTCTTTGTTGACTATTTTGCAGGGCTTGCATGAAGTGTTTGATTGAAATTTTGTTACTATTGAATGAGCATCATACATGTTTTCACATTGTTGGTTTACATTTGTTATCGTTGTTCGATGTTTATAAGGCACCAAATTCCTAGTTGTGACATCGGATCATTGGCCTACACTATAAGAATCATTTAATTAGTCTCTTTTGATCACTAAATTAATTCCAAATTAATTCTTGATCAATACTAATTAAATAATATGATTTCTTAATTAATATGTTATACTTATAATATATTAATAAATCACAAATAGCCTATTCTCAAAAGTCCATCCTATTAAATTGCACTGGTGAAGGCAACCCAAAATGACCATGCTACAATCGGATCAAGTACATCCCGGTTATAGTTATGGGCTTAGACACCAACTCCAACAGTTTTACTTGAGCTCATCTAATTGAATGCACCACACCCTTTTCTCTTTTCAAAGTTCTTTTCTCTTTTCAAAATTATTTTCTTTTTCTCAAGGTTCCTTTTATAAAAATGATTTTCTTTTGAAAATTTTCATACCAAGTCCTCAATTTGAGTTTAGACACACCTGAGAGTGTACCCGGATCCCTCAAACCAAGGATTTGATACCAACTTGAAACATTCCAAAAATACAATCCAAAATTTACATTTTTTTTATTTATAACAAAAACATAGTAATCCAATCATCTCATAAAACATAAGTGTAATATCTCAAAATATCATCTCAAAACACTATATCACAAATCCAGAATATCATAGTGAATCTTCCCAGATTAAAAGCTATGGTGTGTGCCATGCAGTAATCCCGAGCTCATCCCCTTACTAACGGAAGTACAAGACCAAAAATGAAAACTTTCAGCACGAAGCATAGTGTGTCTCCCCGTACTACCACATACCATACACATAATTACATAATCATATATAACATACGTTGGGCCCCACCCTGTTACATTGGCCACTTCCCGACATCAACTTGTCCAGCATCAGGCTCCGCCCGGTATCAGATCGTAACTGGGATTGGGCCCTATCCGGCATCGAAACTCAACTCGGCATATATATAAGGATAAATATTAATACACATAACATAAGCATAATCTCCTAACTATAGACATATACACATTTCTCCCCCTGGCATCGGACCGAAATCCGGAAACAAACAAACATTCCTTGGGAAACGCCCCGACATCAGAGCGTAGTCCGGAAACATACAAATACATACACATGCAAGAATCACAAAGACACCTAGTATACTAACATTCTTCGAGTACCGTCCCGACATCGGATTAAAATTCGGAAAAACATATAAACCTACATTGGGCCTCGCCCCACATCGGACCTTAATCTAGAACATACTATCATACATAAACGAACCGGCCATGGTGCCTTCGACCCGTTCCTACTGGAGGAAAACTCACCTCACAAAGCTGACTGTTGAAATCTCAAGTGAGAAAACTTTGATGGCTGCTCTAATGACTCCCCTACTATTATCATCACAATAATCACTTAGTCAAAAACCGATAATCCTTCTAAGGGTAAAATAACCATTTTACCCCTGGTCAAAGTCAACATTCTGGTCAAAGTCAATGTTCTGAGTTGATTCAACTCGCCGAGTTGACTTATCAACTCGTCGAGTCTATAAATCCAAAAACTTGAAATCGCGATCCAACTCGTCGAGTCATCCCTCTGACTAGCCAAGTTCCCTGGCTACTCATAGTCGCGATTTGGTGAATTAACTCATCGATTCCCTTCGTAGACTCATACAGTTCCACCTTAAACTGAATCGAGACAAAACGACTCAAATCGTCGAGTCCCTCTCTTAACTCGCTGAGTTCCCCGGTCTTATTGAGCTATCTTAAAAGATTTAGCTCCTATGCTTCAGATCCAAACTCCTTACTCCATCTATATACTAGAAATGCCCTTTTATGGGTAAAGTTTCTAACTTTACCCGTTATTATTCCTTCTTAATGGGTTTAGCTAAAACCCTAGTTCTCTACAACATAGATCTTGGTCCAAAAGCCATAATACTCCAAGCTGAAGCATACTAACATAGTTCTATGCCTTAGACGTCATTTGAACACGTAAATCTCCTAACTTTCCTTCCATGCATGGCCTTTTGGGGCTTAAAAGGCCATAAGATTTGGGTTTCATCCAGACAGCCCTAATTGTCGAGTCGAGGCTCTTTACTCGTCGATTAGGCGACTTAAATCCCGCATCCAATCACGTTTCTACTTAACGAGTCTGGGGCTCCCAACTCGTCGAGTAGATATTCAAAAAACATTATAATAAAATGCGTACGAAGAACCAGGTGTTACAAATCATTAGAAATCGTACTGCTACACAAATCAACCACGTAAGTCAAACATGCAAAAGAGGATATAAAACAACCATAGTATTAAAAGAGCTGCACACCAACCCGTAAAAACAAAATTCTTAATTGTCTTAAACTTTCAAACAAAAAACATTTTAAATGATTTTATTTAAA